TTTTGAACCGGCACGATAATCAAAAAAAAAATGATTTTTATTTTTTTCGTATCAACCCGGGATTCTTTCACCACAAATAGTGCAAGGGTGTCTTCTCGCTATGTCACCTGCTCGCTGTGCTTTATAGCTATCTACGGAAGAAAAGCCTGAAAAAAGGTCTTGCGCGATGCTGAATTCAGCAGTCGATAGGTAGCCAAACCAATCAGCAGCAGCCCCTATGTTGTCTGTTCCTACTAGGAGGCAGCTCTCAACAGAAGGCTTGAGACTGTCGGTTTTGTTATCGACCGTCAGGAGGGCTACTATAATAATTGCAACAGCAACATTGTGGGAGAAGCATCACGCCTTTTGGACCTTCATCAATCGCCCCGTTTTGAATTTGCAATATGTTCCGATGATGGGAAACAAGTGTTGTTGAGATGTAAGCGGTGCCCTTCATGGTGCAAAGTAAATTCAGGTAGTTTCTTCTGGTGATTGGAAATTCAACGCAAATGAGCCCGATGGCTGTTGAAGCTAGCGGAGAGATCTGATAAAGGAACTGTGCGGTTAGTCAACAGAACATCGGCGGCGATTCGTTGGTGGGGTTTACTACTGGAAGAGAAAGCTGTAGCTAGCATTTGTTTCTCATTGATGTATCCGCGTGAGTTCTCGTGTCAAACTTATGGAAATCAACTTATTGCCAATCATTGACTGATGGCGAGAGCAAATGCTGGTTTTCCATAAGGATACTAAAGAATAATGTGGGGTCATACTGTTTACATTACCTGCATGCCATTTTTCACTATGGACGAGCTGAAGGATGCGGTCATAGGTGCGCGGAGAAATTTCGATCCTGTAGTCCTTGAGAATTTGACTGGCTTTGAAACAAGGAACGCTATTAGACTGTTGGTTTTTGATTAGGTATCTCAGTGAATTAGTAATTAATCTATTAATCAGGACGGACGTATAGCGTGAAACGAGAGAAATTCCGAACTAACATTCTTGGTAACGCGTGCGTCATTATTTTCTCATGTAACAAATCTTATAGTGTATAGTACGAAATCAAATAAATAATACAAAAATAATACAAAATAGTGGTAGAAGAATGGACGTAAGGTAATGAAACGCAGTGCATGAAAAAACTTTTCTCAGCCTTAGCTTTTGCTGAATGCTTAAGTTTGGTGTTTTCACTTCAGTCTTGGACTTTTTTATCTTGAGGAAGAACACTCCCAATCTTTGCAGTCAGAGCTAGTGATGGAAATGATTTCACAGATTCCTTGTTGATAGGAGTACATGACCACAAAGGTGGGAATGGGACACTATAGTGTCTTTGATGGACCTTTGTCCCTCAAGGATATCCTATGGGACACTGTCGAATCGAAAAACGACCAAGATGAGGCGTAATAAGGGCCCCAAGACAGGCTTAGCCGATGTACATGCATAAGGCGGTCGAGTGCCGTCCAAGTACTCCTTTCATGCATCTTTTGTCATCACACTCTCGATCAACCCCTAATTTCACTTCTTGCCAAAGGCTTATATTTCTTGAATACCCCGTTTTGTGGATTTTTTCCGCCTATCTCGTATGCGTCGTTTCGGGCTAATGTGAACATGGAATTGATTAGTTATTAAAAGGCGGGTAAGTCGCGATTTTCGCGGATTTTGGCTTCCTTCGCCACCAGTGTACTACTTAAGAGTAGCGCTTTTAATTCGAAAAGGATGGTACATTAAATTAATAAGAACTCTGTCTTCACAAGCCAGATTGGTCTAAAGTAAAAATGGTTATCCGTTCAATATCGTTTCAGGATTTCACAGAATTGTGTAGGTAAAGATGGTAATTTTATGTAGTTCCAAAAGTTTTATTTCGTGAACCACTGTTATCATCTGCACTTTCAGACGCCGAATTCTCCAGCGACGACATACGATTCGATTCCGGCATTGCCCTCTCCACGTAGGATTCGGAAGTAACCTGAAGAAAAGTTTTATCCAGTAACAGCGTCCTACTGATTCGTTCCTCGGCCAAGAAGAAAACTGTCTACTGGTCAACGATCCGTTTTGATGATCCAGCTTGTACGTAGAGTTAGGGTCATCCAGTTTGTGGAATCTGCTACTAGTGCAAGTTAGAGCCCTGCCTCTCCAATGTGTTAGGCAGCAATGGGCTTAGCAGAGGAATCGGGATCAAAAGCCAACAGCAGATGCCCATAAACGCAGGTTTTCTGACATGAATTTTTCGAATCTCTTGGCTGAGTTGTAAGTTTCTACCTTTCGAATACCCAAGCATGTGTGAGTGGGTGGATTTGTGAATATAGTTGGTAGTAACTCGAGTTTCAGGTCAACTAGAGCTTCCTTCTGAGTGGATACTAAATTCATGAAGTGCGTCTCGGAATCACTTCTAGTGTGCCTCCTAATATACTAGATTTTTGTTTTGTCTTTCATGCCATGACTTTTATCTCAGAGATCTCGATTATCATCAGGCATCATTTAGAACGCTTGGAAAAGAACCACCGTTCCCCTACACACGCAATACGGAGACTCGAGCTTCATCAAAACAAGTTCAGAAACGCTGTGGTACAAAGCTACAATTCGAAAATGGAATAGCTACAAGAGCTGGAGGGCTGCACCCATTATTGGACTTTGTGATTTAGACTGAGGCAATCACTCTCTAGATTCCGCGGAATGTCAAAACAAAACAAAACACAAGGTCCTATTGGTTAGAGTTCCTCAAGAGCTCTGAACGTGACTAATGATGTGCTTCCCATTAACGAAGAATCGTTTACAGAGTTACTTTTTCTCTGGAGGGAAATTGGAGACCACTGGCAGTCACTGGCGCAGACATATGCTACGACTGGCCGCTATTGATGCAGCTGAAACAAGACACTGTCTTTGAGCAGTTTCAGATAAGAGTGCAGGGATAATTTGGAATTCACAGTTTTGTCGACGAAGGATAGCGGGAACGCTGCGTGTAGGAGGCACAACACCATTCGGAAGATCAGGGCACCTACCATGTAATCGGTTCTAGGATAAGCGTGAGAAAAGCAAGTTCAATATTGATCTTACATAAATGAATGCAGTCTGTTGTTTGTGATGATTATTATCTTGAGGTTTTTAGGTGGAACAATTATTCAGTTGAACGGCCTAACGTTTCGACTCAATCGTCGTCTTCAGAGGCCTAAACGTAATTCGAGGTGATTTACACGCCATCCAATAAGCGTCTTGACTCCTATTGTAAACTGAAGGTTTACTCGGAACCCGTATTTTGCAAGCGACTCACCAAGGTTCCACCGCTCACGCGGAGAAAATCCGCTGT